ACGTCTTAAAACTGCTGGGCAATCTGTGTTCCGTCACTCGAGGCTACTCCGCCCAGCAACAGCCTCAGCCAATCAGAAGGCCCGATTGTGGTGTCGTTACAGGGAGGGGCAGAAAGGAAAATCTCAGAAAAGTTTAGTTCAAACAACCAGCTGCTGTGTGAAAATTATCRGGTCTGTTGAAATAATTCTTGACCCGWGAGCGACAGAAGAGATTGGTTCTTACTCAGGGAAAGTCTCACTTTTCTACAGCGCTTTATCTCAGAGATACGACGAGTTTTAAAATAGTTGTTTTGCTTCAGAACCAGAGCGTGAAATAAAATTTACAGAGAAAGAAGGAGGGAAGTGGTACCTCCCTGACTTCTGACACACTTTGAGAGGAAACCATTTGTCCTACAGTAAAACCACAAATACGTCTGAAAGAAGACAAAGTAAYAGCACCCCTCCCACAACCAAGCTGGTCGTTTTGATGTAACATGTAGGGGTGCATGTTTCCATTYGGGCCGCATTAAAGTCTCTATCTTTATATTTATTTATGTCTTTTTAAATATAAAGTTAGAGATTTTTTTATGAATAACRAGGTTTCTCCATCAACTGAATGGAGGCAGAGCAAGCTCTCTCTTTCATCTGATAAGGAAGCCCTTATAATTAGTAATTCATGCAAACAGAGCCCGACTCGGTTCTGATCCGTATTCTGACTACATGAACCTACTTTTACTGTTTAGATGTGGTTCAGTTCTCGGCTCAGGTCGGAATAATCCGTAACCTGGTGGGGGGTTCGCCTGCAGAACCATGGGCCCCACGGTGACCGGGCTAAGGGTCAGAACGGGATTCCCCAGCACCGTCCCCCTGACCAGAGACAGAACCTTAGACGGAGCCAGAACCTGGTAAGTTGGACCTGGAAGAACACGTGGATCCAGTCAAACAGCAGAAATATTTTCTCATCTAAAAACCTGAAGGAGAATTTGTTCCTGAATGGTTCATTAGCACCGGTTAGCATCGATTAGCATCTTTTCTGTGTCTCAGCTCAGTGAGACGGAGGCCTAAAAAAGATGTTTCTAGAAACAAAGATGGAGTCTGAATGCTCGGCTGCATCATTCAGAGCGCGCTGTGAGCAGAGAGCAGGCGCCGACTCATGAGTGGAAACAGGTGGGAAAGTGACGTGCAGCAGGAGTTTACGAGGCGTCTGCAACGAACTGCAGAGTTACAGAGGAGCTGTAAATGCTGACAGCCTAACTCGTAAAGCTCCGCAGCACACTTCTGAAGGAGATGCTCCTCAGAGGCAGGTAAAGGTCATGAGTGGAGCTAAAAACTGTCTTACCCTTCAGTTTGTCCAGGGGCGCCGGACGAAGTGGAACTCTGCTGCGAGAAAGGATGTTGGGAACAGTCTTCGGCCGCCTCAGACCTCCAGGTGCATCATGGGAAACGGAGGCATGAGCAGGGACAGAGTTGGACACACCCACGGCACATGGGGGAGGARCTTGAGTTGTCCACTGAGGGTCAGGCGGTGTTACATCCTTCTTAGTGTCTCCAGCAGATGAAGCCACAGGAAGTCCTGCTGCTGGCGGCTCATTGGTCACCTGCTTCTTCTCCTCCACATTCACTTCCTGTTTGGTCCTGAGCTGCAGCTTCTCCTCACCTGCAGACAGAAACGTTTGTAGAAACTCAGAACACTTTCAGGAGGATGACTGAAAACTACATTTTTTTTCTGCTCTTTGTCTTAAGATATCTTTAAAAATGTAAATTGTTGAGTGTGTATGTATTCACACCCCTTTCTCTGAAGCCCCAACAATCACCTTCAGAAGCCACATACGTATATGGAGCTCTATTGGGG